TACCATGCTGCAAGTTACATTTTCCGCTCGACGCTCAGCGGGGCTTTTTAGATATTTTTGTTTCTGTTTTCAATGCTAGCTAGTATTCGTACTTCATTCGTTCAGTAGATCATCATCTGCGTACCACGATAAAACCAGTAGTGGTACACGAACTACCGTAGTATGGGTGCTCCTGAGAACTTGTGAAGGAAACGATTTCGATTCKTCGTGTTCGCAGTTCGCAAGGCATCCCTTTCTATTCACAAATAGCAYCGAAAGCTCTASACAATCTTAGACTTCTCCATTATTTTGACACCGGCGACCTTCTCAACCTGCGAAGATTTTCGAATCGGTCCACACAGAATACAAAACGTTTCACAAAATAATTAAGATGGCAGACGAAGAAGGTTTCTTGAACCGCGATGATGACATCATCATGGTGGATAGTGATGACGACGTCGAAGAYTTGGAAGACGAAGACGACGACGAAGTTGGGGAAGTCGGCGAAGATAATATGCACGATGAAGACGATGAAACTTCCAGCGCAGCTGTAAATCCACCCTCTGAGGAAGACAATGTTGTAGCTCGTCGAAGGGCTATACAGGAAATTATGCGAGACAATAGTTTGAGCGATCAAGGAAAGCGCATGCGCATCCAATCCTTGATGAGCGGAGGCCGTACAGCAGTCGCACCAGCCCCAACTCCCATCATTCCGAAYCAAGAGGAAATTAAATGCAACCACTACGAACGAAACTGCAATATCATTGCACCTTGTTGCGGTAGAATTGTTGGATGTCGTATATGTCACGACGAGACGAGTCCGCCCGGGCACCCCCCGATGAATCGTTTTATGATTCGGGAAGTCGTTTGCAAACACTGTAGTACACGGCAGATGGCATCGTAAGTTCTATAGTCGAAATCCGAATGCTTGTGRAGATATAATGCCAATCACCACTTTCTAACCCTTGTCCGCTCTTGATGATTTTGGATGATCGTTTGAATAGGAATCAATGCATCAATTGCAAGGTTCAGTTTGGGGAATATCACTGCAACAAGTGCAATCTCTGGATGGGCAAGGTAAGACAAGTTTGCAACACCTTACGATGAAGTTTTTGCTGGCGCCWTCAAGAATCTTGTTTRTCTACAATAGACACTWATATAGTTTTCTTCATCTCTTGCCTTMTATGATATTGCTGACACAAAAGGCGAAAAAGCCTTTTCATTGCGAACAATGTGGCTTTTGTAGAGTTGGTGGCCAGGAGAACTTTCGACATTGCACAGAGTGCTGTATGTGTATATCCGTAAACGTTTTTGACACTCATCGCTGTTTCAAGGATAAATACAAGAATAATTGTCCCGTCTGCAGAGAAGACATGTTCTCTTCACGGCAGTCGCCCCAAGATTTACCATGTGGCCATGCAATACACGCCCATTGCTTTCGCAAGTTGGCTGGTTTTGATTACCGCTGTCCGATTTGTAAAAAAACTGTTGTCTCACAGCAATCCATGGCAGCGGCATGGGAGGCTCGTGCAAGAGATATCGCAGAACATCCAATGCCTAGTGACTTGCAGAGGATAGTTGACATCATGTGCAACGACTGCGAAACGAAGAGTCACGCACGGAACTGGCACTTTCTCGGTATCCAGTGCGGTCATTGTAGCTCATTCAATACTGTCGTGGAACAGGTGCTCAGTTCGGGGCCACAGGGCGTTGGTGCTAACCAGGCAGATACTCAAGATAACAGCGGGAGTGGATCAGCTTAGAGAATGATACCKTTTCAAATTACTAGCGAAAACAAGCAGATGCTCAATATAAGTGCGGGAGTGGATCAGCTTCAAGAAAGATGCCGTATTCATTACGGTTTCCCCCCCATAATTGTAGTTGCCTTCATCCTGTAAATAAACTGCTTAGCGGCGGTGACACCCCTTGAGAAGATGCCCAACATGACAYCGGAATTGATAATCTCAAAGAAAGATGTTGTTTTGCATCTCCAGAAATGAAAACAATTTTCAATCTTTATTATTTTTCTTGCCTTCTCGTTACTTAGCGAATACAGGGATGAAAAAAAATGTGCTTTAGTAGTRTTAGAATTTCTTTCCGTTAACGACTTCAGATTAATTTTTCGATACGCATATTGTGGATTGGTAATTTTCGCAGTCTAACCAAATCAACCTGAATATCCCACCAGTAGGATGACTGTGACTACAACCAGTAGTAGATAGTTGATACATTGAAATAAGTGGTTAAAACTCATCATTCACGATGAGATTGTGGGAGGTGATGCTAATTAATGCAATCATTGTTAATCACAAGATTCCGCTACATTTTTCGCTGACTTCCCTGTCGTCGGCCTGGCTTTCGCCCGAGTTGGAATTGCTCTTGGAAGCTCAAACCGTCGTCCAATTGACTCGCSGTATCTTCCCCAGGTTTCGTCAGCTCTTCCACCAATTCTTCRGCCTCRTTGATGGCTTTTAGAACTTCTCGTTTATTGCTCTCACAGAGCATACCACCAATGAACATTTCAAACAAAATCAAAAGCGATTTATGGAGCGAAAATACGAGATCCAATTCGCACACTAGTAGTTACATAGGTTGGSCAACAAATGGATTGAGCAGAAAAGCATTGGTGATTCGTTAGATTCTCTCAATATTCGAATATTGCGAGTATCAACTCCTACTCGTTGAGTACAAAAATCTTTCGTATTCTTTCGTTCGGTACATACCTGAATTGAAGTATCCGTCGAGAGCCTCCACAAATAAATGGATCTGTTCTAAGACAATCAGCTCGTTCATACCGACTGGGACCCCAACCACAAAGTAAAGGCTTGCGTAACGACGGTAGACGAATTTGTATGGGCCCTTCTCGATAATGTTGCACATTTTTGGAGCACGGGGAAGAATGTCGGCAGCAATGTCTCTGAGGATACGACGTTTTTCAGACTCGGTGTAGGATTGRAAAAACTCGGAAAGACGAATCTTTCCTTGGCGACTCATGAGAACAATGAAGTTCCATCCAACCTGGGCGTGTGCCGCGTTAATTCCCTCGGGACTGCCAAGTGTATCCATTGTGAAATATTATTATCGTATTTATCGTGTTGTATCTTGTTCGAGTGGCAACGTTTCCTTCTTTGACCTTGAATTGATTAAGACCCAATTTTATTTTCGTCTTTGCTAGCTCTCAGCAAAAACTGTGCACAACGACGTCGCAAATGGAATGAAGTGACACTATTCAATGGGGATTGTCCCGACAACAAAGCTAGTGTATTTTGAAATGCAGTAACTCGTTGTATTTCTCGTATGGAACTGATGCAATCGTTGCTACGGTTCGTATGGTAAGGCTGTCCGCGGGCATAAAAATGCGGTTTGGATTTCTTTACTTCCTGATTACTGTATTTATGACTGGTATGACTGAGACGATTAAATTGTTTCAAAAACTCTGAAATGACCCAATCGACTCGAAGATAATAAAGTGAACAAAATAAGTGCGGTATGGTCCATGAGTACTGTAACGTACGTACAAAATAGATCATCATCGTCATCATCATAAAAAGCCTTCAAATTGTTTTACTTCGTACCGTACTATTTTACTCAGTTACAGGATATCGAACACGTGATATCGGATGTCGAACGATACGCAATCGCAATAGTGACTGATGACAGAAAATGCTCCRAGTACGATACTGGTAACCTAGTACTGCACCGCACGACTCTGTTAGGTGTTCGAAAATGTCGAAAGAATGGCCGTATCAATAGCCTMGCAGGGAAAATTTGATCATGGAGATCCAATCTGGAATGCTTATTCCTATCGGGACGATCATTTTGGTCATACTCCTTCAGATTTCGTTCTGGTTTCCGACAGCGGAACGCAAAGAACGAGTTTCAGACGAAAAAACTAAAACAACTGCGAACACCACGTCCATCGCTCCCGATGATCCAAGAGTTGCGAGWCCATCGAGTGATGAGAAATCCTCYACACCGCAAGAGACAACCGAAGACAAACAAGGAAGGGGGGTCCGAAATATTACACGAATTATTCCACAAAAAAACATTGCGCCAGAAAACTTTCAGTGCGTATTCATCACGGACGACAAACCTGGCGAGCAAACGCTGTCGCCCGAGAATGGCAATAAATTGACGCCGAGRAGCAATGACRGAGGSCAGAATAMCGTATCCACACTRGGAAAGAGATCTGTTTGGAAATGTTCGTGCGAACTAGGATTTTTGCCAGCGGGAATGCTCAAGACGTTTGGCAACGCCGAAGCGATCATGCGACTGGGAGTGGGCCAGTGCTACCACAAGAAATCGTGAAGAATCGTTAGAAAACAAATCAGGAACCTGTTGGRTTTCCTGTGGAGTTCTTTGTTCTGCGACCCTATCGAGCACCAAGGGTGTCTGTAGGACTCATGATAAGAGACGAATGGCAGTTTTCACACTACCAGTAACATTATACGGTCGAGCATTGTACATACTGGACACCCGTCGCCCGAATCCCAGATAGAAACCAATCGATGTCGAACCAATCTCATCTGTTCATGGAACGAGCACGATGACAGCAGTAGCTTAAACAAGAAGAAAGATAATGTAGCGATCATGGATCGATTCCATTCCAATCTTATCTGAGCAACGGAGGCAACACGAATGGATGTTAATGATTTACCATTCAAGCCTCACSAATCTGTCGTTGTCGGCTGGAGCCACATTGTTGGTAGCTGTTCATAGATGGCAGCTCTCCCAATTTCTGAACTGTGCATAGTGGATTAAGACTGCCTTGGCATACACCAAATACTTTCTTGAGAAATAATATTRACAGAATGAAGCAGTCATGCATATTATGTTAGTACTGTGAATTCCTTGTTTGAAGTGATATGAAATTGTTGTCGTCACTAGATCCTGGTTACAAAAATGTATCAAGTTGCACCATCCATTTCTAAATATACCAAACCTGAAATAAACAATTCTCATTMTTTCTGAAAAGCGTACTATAGAACAACAATCCATYACCCCTACTTTGTTGCTGTTGTCATAATTGGTAAATGAAGAAATACTAGTTCTTCCTACATTTCTTAATTTTATTTGTGTACTTCTTGTCAAGACTCATCCTTCTCTAGTACTGCTAGTGGTAACTAGTAAAGTAGATTCAGACTAACTAGCAGTAGTAGCATGGATGGGAAAAATAGAAAACAAGGCTAGGAATAATTTTATTTTTGTGTTTCTCAACAAGAACAACAACTGATCATGATGAGATAAATTCCTACTAGTTTTTTTATGTTTGCTCTACTCGTAAACATCATAATGGAAACATAAGGTACGGATTTTATTGGAATAGAATTACAGCCAAAATCAACATTCAATTTTTGGCCACCCACTGGTGTAAGAACTTTGGCAGACTAGTTGTAAGCTGCTAGAGCATCATATGGCTTCCCAATGTCACCATTATTTAAGTAAATATATCAAGTTGTTAGACTGCTGGGCACCTATTCTGGTGGTCTTACATTGGTTTTTGATAAAGTTCTGATCTATTTTCTTACCAGCAGCTGGTCTCAGAAAGTAGCAAAATTTGGGCATACCCGCTGTTAGTGTGTGTAAGCAACAATTACACACAGCAATCTTCTTACTAGTAACCACACTATGACCAAGCATATCACCAAAGGGGATCTCATTAGAGRTGGTTCTAGTAGAGCAGTTCAAATGGTCTCATAAACACTGTTATCATCAAGATGAAAGCAACTGAACAATTCAATGGTACAGATAGGAGGGTCAGTGGTTCTTGTGGTGGATACATTGGCAGTTTTGCATCTGCTTTCTCTAGAGAGAAGAATCTGGAGGCATGACAAAAGGTTTTTGGGCCGTACCTTGTACTTTGGCCTGTTTTAATTCAAACAACAATTTACATGATGACAATGCTGATGGCCCAAATGTTGTAAAGTACAAAGGTATGGAACACCAGCAGAATAGTCTGGCTTGTTGTGGACTTTTTCAGTCCAAAAGATATCATGATGGATGCCACTTGAGGGCAAAGCTTGTATTGAAGAGTAATGATGTCATTGGAGTAACTGAAAGGAATCCAAAGGAGGGGAATGGTGCTCTTGCAAATGACAAAACCCACAGAGAGAGATTTTTTGTAACTGGTGGTTCTTAGCATGGCACTAGTGATGATTTCTTCAAGGCTGCAGAACTGATCAACAATTGGAAGGAAATTGAAGTATTGGAAATACAAAAAGCCCAATGTTTGGACAAGGAGAAAAGGGAGAAAACTGCCACTGCTGCTATCTTAAATTCTGTGCCACAGAATTCAATASATTCTCTCAGAATGCCCCATTGAGAAGTCATCTGCTATGGCATCATGGGATCAGCAGAAACAAACAGGAGAAAAATGTATCAGAGGCCAGAYAGAAAAACAAGAAGGAGTTGAAGGATGCCCAAACAAACCACTATACGCAAAGTGGATTGATGACAGACTTGCCTGCCRGTTGAAAACAAGCCTAATCAACATTGAGGACACAGCCAAGGGTTGGTATAGAAAGCTTCAGAAAAAATCTTTTAGTAGGGACATTGGTAGTCCTAGGAAGATGACAAAGCAACAAAAAGAAGACTTCTTGMAAGAGTGTGAAGAGGAGGGAGAGATAATAGTAGTAATCCACATGATAATGTCCCCRATGGTGCTGTTCTATATGGATGATTCCCTACTTTAGTTCCTTCCTTGGGTTGGAATCATAGAAAATAATCCATTTGGCACAAATCATATCATTGAGAACAGAGCTGCCACCAGATGTCTCAACTTGTCAACCAAAAGTTGTCTGATAGCATTTCTTGGGTCGTGTGTACCCCCCAACCCGGTGATAGTGCTCTTTTGATTCATTTAGTAGTACTTGGTTGTTTGGCCCAGCCCTGCCTCTTTCATATAGTTTTTGATGTCACCAGTAGTTGCTTCAATATGAGCATTTGTTGTCTTCAAATCCTGCTACTGCCTCTGAGATAACTTGTTCTMAACCAAAAGAATCCTGGTGATAGCAGTTCTTGGGTGTTTACCCCCCAATCTGACTGATAGTGCTCTGTCCAGTGCTCTGTCCATTTGTCTACTTGCTGGTTTGGCCCAKAGCTGCCTCCTTCCTATAGTTTTTGATATCACCAATAGTTTTGTCAATGTGTAAAAAATCTTGCTCTATTGTATAGTACACAACTTTGGCAACTTTATAAAAGCAATTTTATCATACATCTTTAATGCTCTGTATGATTTGCATATGTACATTGACAGGACTGCCAACTCCCCCATACAACTAGAATCCTGTTTAAATTTGCTTTCAATTCATGTGCCTACTACCATACTTAAGCATCTGTTGGGGACCAAGATAGCTGTTTAAGTGAGTTGACCCTTGTTAGTTAACATTCTCAGTGTTTTTGTACTGTGTGTTGATTTTGGGCTATCTTTTTACTGTGTAATGGTGACTAATGGGATTAAACTTTGACTTGTACTTGCAGTACTACTAGGGATACACAGTACATGCAAGTGACAATATTTGGTCGCAAGACTGACAATTTTTGGTTACAACATTGTGGGATTCAAAATTCAGCAAGTACTGAGCACRTGCATTATGTACCTGCATGGTTTTTAATTCAAAATAAGGGCCCAAAATCTACAACTGTATTCTTGATTTTTGAGCCACATCTATACAATACTAGGCCCTGTTTTGAAAATTTATTYCACACCAAACACAACTCATTATACTAGTAGAAAGACAGTGGATGGTGAACATACTTTTTGAACACCAGTGCTATTTTGCCATTGTAGTACTAGTAGTAACTACATTACTACTGCTAGATGAGACATAATGGTGAGGAGGAGAACAATGATATTCAACAACCTAGTATGAAGCAGAGGGGGAACTTTCTAATGGTACGCTTCTTATGTTCAAAGGTTCTCTGACTGTGAAGCTATCAGGGTCACCATGGTAATGATGTAGTTTTGGTGAATAGTTGATGGAAATAGTAGGGAGTATGAGGGGGGGG